CCCCCCCCCCCCCCCCCCCCCCCCCCCCCCCCCCCCCCCCCCCCCCCCCCCCCCCCCCCCCCCCCCCCCCCCCCACGAACAGGGTACACAGCGTCCCAAGCCTTGCGTGACAGGGAATTGTTCCGAGAATTGGCCCGGATTGCATGACGTTATGAAGCGGCTAGACTGCAGACCGACGAGGTACAAACAGCCATTTCAGCCGACGCTGGCAGTTATTGGCCTTGGGCGATGCAGGCCGCACCAAGCCTTTGCCTTTGCCTTTGCCGAGGGACGGGATCTCCAGGCACATCATTGGGGCTGACTGCTTGACGGCTAATTAAACCAGAAGCAACGATCAGGCTATCGGTGCTGTCGATGGCGAAGAAAGGAAAGGCTCGAGATTTCCCCCGCATCTCCAGGCCTGCAATGGAGCTAATTTCTCCGGCATGCCACGAGTGAGTATGCAGGTGACAATTATCCGGCGAGTTTTTCGTCGAGCAATATGAGATGACGATGGCCTGCCGTCAGAATCGCAACGATTTTACTACTTTACTGAGTATAATCCCATGCTTGACTCCGCATGTTCGACCGCTGATCGTTGCACAGATAGAGAGTCCAGTGGAGCGTTCTTCAGAAGGGTCTGGTTGGCCTTGCAGAACTGCCGACTCCACTTGAAATGCCAATGGAACCAGTACCACAGGTCCATAGGGCTTTGTCGGAAACAATTCCGACGTCCACCAAGCAAAAAGAAAGGAAGAAAACACAAAAAAAGAAAAAAAACTGCCCATTAAGGCTGATGGACAACAGACGAGGGAAGGAAGCACGGCGTTGGGAGAGACCCACATCCACCAGGCAACCAAATATCCGCCGGCACGTCTTCCATGGCCACGAGGAACACCCTTTTACTTTGACCTTGCACGGTCATTCGCAATATTAATGACTAGTGGGTAGTTGGTTGACTACGGAGCTCACGGCGCAATGGGGAATGGATACCGAAAAAAACTCAAAGCCCCAGGAGGGGAAGGGGTGGTGCCTGTGCCAGACATTTTACGAACGGACCTCCTTCATTTCAGGCAACAATGGCTGGACCGATTAGCAAGAGCCAAAGCCACCTGCCAAGCGACCGGTCGCAGCTGGAAAGTCGTGCTGCATATCACTTGCATTGTTCCTTCGCTGCAGATTAAAAAAGCTTAGTATAGAAGCCCGAGAAAGCGCGTAAAATTCCTATTGTTCGCTAGTGCAGCTTCTTGCCTGTCGAAACAAAGCCGTAATGCCTGAATTCAAATCATACCGAGGCGTACACCCAAGAAAAAAATCCACTCCATGGAGCTAGGACTAGCAAAGAAAACCAAATAGAACAGAACCCCGAGTAAAAGTATGAAGGAGAAAAAAAGAGAAAGAAAATTAACACGAAAGAAAAGAATAAAAAAAGCTCGCAGGTACCGGTGGATTGCCTGCCCGACTCGTGCGATCTAGCAGCATGCAATACATCATATCATCGAGGTCATATACCCATTTTGACGCTGGTGGCCCACCTCTCGGACCCGTGTATCAATCGCTTTCTTAGCACATCTCGCAGCATTCAATGCACTCGAAGCAGCATTCGCAAGTTTCTTCGCAGAGGAAACAACAGCAGAGGGTGGCCAGACTAGCGAAAGAGAAAAGATCGATCAGTCCTATGCGTCGCGTAGATAGAAAAAACAGACGGAGCACTCACCAAGCACCCAGACATCCGCGGTCCTTCTTCTGAGGAGCCGGCTGCTGCTGGTACTGCATTTGCTGTGTCTGTTGTCAGCGCATCGCATTTCTCGTCGCCAAGTCACTCGGATCGCAACGTACCTGAGGGGGGTACTGCTGAGGAGGAGGGTATCCTTGAGGGGGATATCCCTGGGGAGGAGGGTAGCCACCCTGAGGAGGGTAACTATAGACAGTAGCGGGTTAGCATATTGGGTCGATTGTCTTTGTGAGAAACAAAGCCGGATGGTCCCCGCCGTTACGAGATCGACCCAAGACGGGGTCTGACCCTCTCAGAATGTGACCGCCGTCGCCGTTGCAAGCCGCGACATTCTGTCGAAGGCCCGGCGCAAAGCAAGCTCAAGCGACCAAGGCGATCGGCGGACGGAAGAAAATGGGGAGGTAGATTGCAACAGCAGCACTTACGCCTGAGGGGGAGGAGGAGGTCCGTTGTAGTAAGGCTGGGACATGGTGACGGGGTAGTGAGGCAGCTGCAGCAAAAATGTGGTGTCGCACCAGTCAGTGAGTGTGCTCAGAACAATCTCCGATGGAAGTCGGCAGAGAGACCCGACCGAACGAGACGATGGGGAAGAGTTGCTCGTGGGAAAAGCAGCAGGGCCAATAACAGGGGAGCAGAGCATACCTAAGAAATGCCAAGTTCGAACGGATCGAAAAGGGAGATGAAAGTTAGGAAAGGGGGGAAAGAGAAGAGTAAGAAGAAGAACCGGACAAGACGTTAGGGGGACAAAAGCGAAAGGGGCGGAGAAAAAGAGGAGACCGGATCGCTGCGTAGCGTCGCTATGAGCCTATATTCTCACTAGACGATGGGTGGGACTAGGGATTGCTCTGGTTTGGGGTTTTTTTTAAAATCGGAGAGTTGAACTATTTTTGAATTTCCAGAGAACTTTTCCCTTCTTCCTCTTCTCTCTTCTGTTCCTCTCCCCCCTCTTCCTTTGGATGTAACTCTAAGTCGCTACCGCCCGACCTTGTGGTGCCTGAGAAATCGGGTGTCCGCTATGGTACCCGGCTCGTACGAGGCAGGCAGATCCTCTTCTTAGGTATGTACAGTACTCCGTTGGCATGAAACAGAAGAAGATTAATTAGCCTGAACTAAAACCTAGAATCGAAGAATATTCCTGCCCTCAAGATCACTCCTTCCCGGAGATTCATTAGTCGAGCCAGCCCGTCAAGGGTCATTCATTACAATACAAAGCTCCGGCCTGCCCTACAGACCCGATTTCCGCTTTCCCGAGTCCCGCTGATGGCGTCCTTCTCCACCGCCCAGCCTCGCTCGGTGGCGGTCGTCGAGTCAACGAGTTAGCAGACATCGTCATCATCTTGATCTTGTTCTTGATCTTGTTCTGATCCTCAATCAGTAAGCAGGCACCGTCATGGACGTAGGCCCTCCCTCGCGGGTGTCACTGCTTCACCAGCGCCCCATCGCTCCCACTGTTCTCGCCTCTTCAGCTAGGCTGGGGTTGCGTGCCGTCTGGCGGCCTACAGTCCTAGGTACGTTCTGCAGTGTATCCTGGTGGGTGGTAAGTAGTGGGTTGTGAAAGCAACTAAGTACCTAGCATGTAGGTAATTATCAAGGGATTTCGTTGCCGGCCAGAGCCGGAGAGGAGCGATCCCCATCGGGTCCCAGTCCAGGGCTGCCCCGGGAAAGTGCCGTTGCCGTCAAAGAATGACGTTCACCAATTCAAATATATTCATGAGAGCAAAAAAAAAAAAAAAAAAAGAACAAAAACCACTGGAGTCTGGCTGTTTCACTGTTTGGCTGTTCATCATCACACATTATGTCGTCCCATGTCGCCTTTGTTGAGGCGGCGCAGAGGTCGGCTGTTTCGACCCCTGTGAATTTGCGCGCGGCAAAAGGCAAAGATTCGAGAATCAAGAACCGTTGGAAAAGAGAAGTAAGGAGAAGAGAGAAGGAAAAAGGTCAAAAAGCGTCAAAAGAAGAGAAGAAATAGGAAAAAAAGACGAAATGGATAGAAGAAATGAAAGGCGGGTCAAACCCGCATGAGAAAGAAAAGAAAGAAGAGAAGCAGAAAATTATGTAAGGGCGCAAAGGAAATGACAAGAAAAGAAAACCGAACCAGAAAAAGAATACAAATCCCATATATCAACATGAAGTTGGAATAATCCAGATGAAAAGAACAAAAGGGAAAAAAAAGAAAAGGTTCTAAGGATTATATAGATCACACATACGAATCAATCTCAGGAGCCAAAGGCTGAGCATCCAGATAACAGGAAGTATCAAGAGATGTATCCATGCCCATCGTGGGAAAAGCAGAAAAGGCATTGTACCCAGTCATCATGGTTGTTTCCAACCCATGCTGGGGCAAATCGTCGGCCGGCGCTGACGACAACCCCTGGAACGTCGCATCCTCGGCGGGCACCGACGACGGGGCTGCCGCCAGGTCATCCCCGATCGCATCTTGGTCAATAAAGTTCTGGGCATTTTCGAGGACAATCTCCTCCTTCTGCACCATCCAGTGCTTCAGGACTTCCATGGGCGGGTGGTTTCCACCACCCTTCCCGCCGCGCTTCTCACTGTCCTTCCCACGTCCACCCCGGCCTCGCTGGCAAGGATTGAAATGAGTCCGACGCAAGTGAGCGGCGGCGTTGTAATTGGCGCCGTATCGCTTTCCATTCCGGCATGCTTTGCAGTTGGCCAGGAACGTCTTGCCAGGGGAGATGTCAACGCAAACCCAAACCTTGCGAATCACGGCGTGCACCCGTTCGATGTGCCGACGCAGCTCGTGCTCCCCGTGGAAGCCGTCGGGCTGATCGTTACACATCGAACAATATGTCTTGGGACGCGGGGGCCGCTGAATCGATGCCTTGGGAATGGCTGCCACCTCCTTGGCTGTCCCGTCGGAGGATGAAATGCGGATCATCTTGTGCTGCTCAGCCACTTTAGGCTGAGAACCGTTGAACTCCACCTTGGGGGCGATGGGTCGAGCGCCCTGCACAATTTGTTCTTGGGTCCTTCGAGCCGCTCTAGACGGCTGAGAGAAGGAAGAACTATTGCTCTCGGTGGATATGGAATGCTTCATCTCCACGGCGGGAGAGAGCGGCAGGGCAGAGATGGGTTGTTGGGGGAAAGTCGTGGCAGAGGGGGCGGAGCAGGAGAATGCGGGAGGAGCAGAAGATTCAGCGAAGGGGAAAGTGACAGGATCAAGATCCCGTTGCATGGATGTAAAGGTGGAGAAGGGGACGTTCATAGGGGAGGTGGACGAAACAAAATCAGACGAAGGGTAGGGGAAAGAGAAATTGGAGTCGAGATTTGGCCCCGAAGAATCAAATCGCATCATGCCGATGCCACCACATATCGAATCGGTAGTGGTGCTCCTACTCATGTCAACTGCGCCCGTGGCAGTCTGGTCGGCTAACGAAGGATGCCCCATCCCCATTAGGCCGGAGGTCAGCGCGGAAGGTCCCTGGTATTGCTGATTGGGAGATTGGCGGGAGGATTGTTGATCGAGTCCATTCGATGCCGAGTCCGCAGAGAGTGCCATGGAGAGTGCCGAAGCACCCCGTTGTTGAGCCTGGTGGTCGTCCAAATACTGCTTGGCGTATTCGGATGGGGAATACTCGCTAACGTGGTCAAGGCGGCGTTGGGCGCGCGAAGGTCCATAGGAGTGTCGCTGTCCCGTCATGCTGGAGGCCAGCGACGGCCGGTGAGACACCGGAGTCTGCTGGCTCTGTGAACGGACCATGGTTGTGTGTCGGGAGGACCCAGGACCCGAGAAACCGGAGGAGCCGTCCTTGCGAGAATTCGATCTAGAGAGGTGCTGAGACGTCTGGGGAGCTGCCGGAGAGGACGCGTGAGACAGCTCGCGCGTCAGATCAACGGTCACCGGGGGATCCGGAGTCTGCCAATTGTCAATCCAGGGACTGGTTGCTGGCGAAAGAGCAAGGAAGAAGGGAATGCAAGAGCACGGGAGGAACAAGATGGGTGTTAAGGTGGAGGAGAGGCGGGATCAGAAGACCAAGATGGATCACATACGGTGACTCGTCGTTTCGTCGGAGGAAGACCAGAACCAGGTAGAGTCCGGGGAGTATCCTGTCGAGCCCGTTTCCCAGATTTCTCGAGTGTTGTAGAACCGCCATTTTCAAGGATGCCAGAGCCGGAGACCGGACGGTAGCTGTTGAGGGAAGAGGATGCCGTTGCCGGTATGAACTGACTTAACCGTTGGCCCCAAAGTTGGTTTCGCTCTGATTCCGGAAGGTGGGAGTGCTGAACCAAAAAAGCGTCCCGATACCCAGAAATGGCCCGTGTGAAGAGTTCGTCATCGGCCATGGTGACAGCCATGTTGGTGAGATATCCTTAGAGTGGTGCCTCTCCCGTATGAGGTGAGCGATAAGGATAGAGCTGCTATCAGTACCAAATGACTATATAGGGGGGTTTGAGTGGGAGAAGTGGATCTCTATGGCATTCATATCAGTACTGCCATCCACTGAAAATAACAAGGAAAATAGTGACGACGAGAGACGGGAGATGAGGTGGAGAGAAAAAGAAAAGAAATGGAAAGGAAGGAGGGAGGACTGACTGGAGGGTCAAGATTGTTCCCGCGACGGCAGTGGGTTTTCGGTGGGTGTACAGCAGGAAGGTCAGGTTGCGCGGATGACACACCAGAAATGAGGGGATTGAGAACAAGAGTAGGTAAAATAGAAATGTGATGAGAAGAAGAAGATGAGAGGGAGGAATATAGATATAGAGACGGCAGAGAGTATAGGAGAAATATAAATCTACTAGGACAGGATCGCGATAAGATAGTTGAGAGAGATGAATGAACGAGGGGGAGGGAGGAGGGCGGAAGATATCAATTTAATGGGGAAGGGAATAGTTATACTAGCAGTAGTTATCCCCACAGCCCGGCTTGGTCAAATGGCCCGTATTGCATAATATGAATCGGGGGGGAGAGAGAGGTGTGTGAGGAAGAGGGGGGGGGTCGCAAGTATGGGGGAGAGAGAGTAGGAACGAGAACAAAAGATCCGTCAGGTCAGTCAGTCAGTCAGTCAGTCAGTCAGTCCCAGATTCGCAACCTGTTGGGTTTAGCTGCTGCAGCAGTAGTTCATGGAAGTTGAAACTTGGGAAACGACCGGGGTGGGGGAAAGCAGACGGTCTGTGAGATGGAAAGAAGGATTGGCCGGAGGACCGACTGGCAAGACGGTCCCATCCTCATCATCGTCGGTGGTTCGCGGAGTGGACCAGGATGGAAGAGGAATGGGATTCAGAAGAAGGTCTGGAACCTTTTCGTAGTGTCGGTCGGGGGGTGGGCACTGGTCAGCGATTTTTGCCCTTTTTCTTTTTCTTTTCTTTTCTTTTATTCAATTTTTCTCTATTTTATTTTTTTTAGAAAAAAGAAAATGGTTTACTCCCTGGAAAATCGAGTCGTAAATTAATTAATTCCACAATTATTTTATTTAATTATATTTTATCTTACTCTATTCTATTCTATCGTTTGCTGAAGTGATTTTACTTTTGGGCCGTCCCTCTCTCTGCTATCGTCGACGGAATACGGAATAGTGTCTGGACGCTGAGCGCCGACGAAGAGTCCAAGCCTGGGGCAGCCAAAAAGAAAGGGTCTCAGGGTGTCCAGCAGATGCCTTCGCTCTTTCTACCTTTCCTATTTCGTAAGGGTCTACCGTATAGAAAGTGGACAGGTAATTTCACAGTTGTCCGAGAAAAGACACAGACCCGATCACCAATAACCGGGAAAATACGCACGGAATCGAATAAAAAATACTCTGCAAATGAAATCCAAATTAAATACGAAATTACACTGATGAAAATCCATTCATCCGTCCAAAAAAGAAAGGCAAAGGGAACCTGGAAGAGGGGGCATGATAGGGGAAAGGTGACACCCTGACTGGTCGACCCAAGCTCCGAATATAGCCTACACCCCAAACGGATGGGCATTTACGGAGACAGACAGGTAGGTAGAGTAATAATAATAGTAGAATGCTGGACGCTGGACGCTGGATGCTGGACAAAAGCAAAGGAACACAACGTGAGCCCCAAAGTGAGGCAACGAAACGGATTGCGCCGACCGGCACCCGCACCAAGCAAGAGAAAATCCCGGATGGATGTGTTGGATCTCCCTGGATCAGTCATCCGGTTTTCTGATCACTGCTCAGTATTATTTACGGTTGAGTACGAGCCGTGTTGGTGGTAAGAATCAGACGTTACCAGTGCTATTATTAGGTAAGTGTCCTCCTTGGTTAACTATCTTGGTTAGGACTGTTAGTAGACGGGCCGTCTTTGTTTAGAGAAGCAGAGGAAGGGGGGGAAAGAATGACGTACTCCCTTCTGCCAGAGTAGACAGTAAGCCATGCATGTCGTGACCTATCGTGACCTATCATCACCGTGACCTGCTTCTTCCCCTTCAGGCGCCTACAGCGGCATGCCTTAGTTTTCACACTTGGAACACTCACGGCTCTTGGGGAAGTACTAAATTCCCGGGCTAAGGATACAGCGTGCTACAAGCTACCCTTTTAGCGGTGCTTGACACCCAAGCACAAAATACCGTACGCCAATCTCCCTGGGCCCTTCGGGTCTCAGCTGAATCTTCCCCCTCGACTCGAAATCTGCCACGTCGTTTGGGCTACACCCGATCTGGTGGTCTCGGCCCCTCATAGTCACGACCACCTGCTAACTATGTGGACTGACCTTTCCCATCCTCCGTCAAAGAAATGGCCTCGTCCAAGTTCTTGTAGATGACGACGGCACCTCCGTTTGCAAGACTTCTCTTGTCTTTGTTGGTTGATGCCATATCATCTCTCTAGGAAACATGACCCTATGGAAGTTGGCTCCAGCGAGAGCCCCCAATCATCTAGGATACCTTGTCTCGCCTCTATCCGGTCAGAATCGAGCTCGGAAAGGAAGCCAGATTTTCTTGGTTTGGGGTCGACCCCAGCTTCATCTGTTTTCCTGCAGATGATAGAGCTTCTCACGTCGTAAGAGCAACAGTAGCAATAACCTACATACCTCCCCCGGAACGAGCCTACGGTACCACGCGGAAGGTTCCCAAGGTTCAACTATTCTGCGCGTGGCCGCCCAGACTCCCGATCTGGTTGAACAAAGAACGGAGAGCACAGTTGTTGGTGTTGTTGCTGCCGTTGATGCCCTTTCAGTTCGCTCTTTCGGCGAGGGGTTACCGGTCACAGGGAAATTCTGCTTGATTTCCCGATCTGTCATGGTGGTGCCCCCCATTGCTGGCGGTGGATGGACGATCTCGACACTATCGACGTTGGATTCGATCATTGGGGGACACGGTGGAGCCATCTCGAAGAGGCTAAGCGCGTAAATATCACGTGCAGTCACGTGGGCTATTTCCCGTTTCGGGGTCACCGTGGATGAACAGTTGGCCGTCTTGGCGGGGCCCTCTTTCTATCCTACCGAGCCATCGACCCTCACCCTCGGAGTGCGGATACGACACCAAAGAACGCAACGGTATGGAGCGCAGAGGGGTCTCACCTTTCCTCTCGGGTCAGATATTTCGGTGGCAGAAGCGCTTGCCGAATTTCCAGCGGTCAACCGCTCACTCCGCCGTTGTTTCATCCGTTCCAGGCAGCATCCACTGCCAACCCACAACCAGGTCACCGCTCTTTACGTATTGAGTGGTTCCGAATTGCGGCTATGATGGCTGGCCTACTGGACGGTGGTGGCAGTTGTTCCAGCGACTTCAAACTGGGTCCTACGGTGGGAGGAATGGAAAACGGCCCCTTCAATTTCCAGCCATTGCAAACGCTCTGGGTCCCGAGGAGAAAAGTACGCCGTTCGGAGGGCCTACGATGTGGTCCATGCGCAGACCAAATCTCCCTACGAACAGGAATTCTGTTTCGGGTTGGAAAATTCAGAATAATAATGGAAACAACGAGTACTACCCCTCCTTTGACGAACCCCGAGCGAAATGCGAGAAGGCGACTCCGCAATGGAAAACTGCTGTCGGCGCATTAGTACTCCTACTCCACTAACTTGAAATATCACGATGAGCATCCTGAACGGCTTGCTCTATTCATCTCCGTTTTTCGGTTTCAAAAATACCAATGACTCAATAGAGCTGGTAGGAGATCATCCATCCCTCCTCAGCCCTCAATTCACCCCCATCGTGTAGTCTCAACGAACGATTCAGGTATGTTAGCCCATGAACTGATCATCTACTCCGTACCCAAGATTGTCTTTTTCCTTGAATTACTCTGTACAATCAACGTTGTCCAAGTCAACCCAATTCCCACTCTTTTCCACAAGGTGGGAGGAGAATAACCGATGTAAGGTACAAACTGACACGACACCCATTTGGCTACCAATCCGTCACAAAAATAGACATCTGCGCGGTATGCGTTCCAGAAAGCCAGAAAATGCTCTTGAAAAAGTACTTCCATTCGACAAATTGGGGGGGAACGGCGTTGGTGAGTGGGACCGCTAGATAAGTGTGATCGCCGAGTGTCCCTGACACGGAGGAATGATAGGCTGAGGATCTTCCAAGCATGGGACCGCTAACGCACGCTATCTGTGATTCTATGCAACTATGCACATTTGTAAAGGACTTGGGCTTTTTGGAAGGTTAGAGTTCCGTTGGGAGACTGAGAAGGATGGGACCGGGGGGGTTAGGATGGGCGAAAACGGAATACATCGAAATGAATTAAATCTCCCCTGTGGAAAACAAAGGAAGGGAAAGGAATTGAGAGACTTATGGCAGGACATGCTGTCAACTGCCGGGGGAAAAACGGACTACAATGACGAGATGCATTCGGGAGATGAATCCACGTACAGCGATGACATAACCCTGAACCTGCACCCATCAGGTGGTCAGGTCGATATGTACGGAGTATGTGTAGGTATGTACAGCATATGTATGTACGGGGTTAAAGCGATCGACTCGCGACAAAAGAAAGGAAATCGTCCCGACTGATTGGCGGGTTTCGACCGGCGACGGTCAAGAATCCCAGTTACCACATCCGCCTACATGAACAGTTCTAAATAGATCTACCAGACAGTGTCAATCACCGTCGACGTCAGGGCTTCCAGGGAAAGGAATTCCAGTGCTATGATCACGACAGTAGTACCTACAGCCGTGCCCAATCTCCGTGTCTGCCTTACCCCCATCCATCCCTGTCATGAGGGAAACGGCTCAGAAAGCAAATGCGATCTGAGCATCTGACCCTCCTCTCTACCCGGGCAAATGCAGTCTGTCGATATCGTGATGCTTGACAACGGGATAAACGAGGTGGTGGTGCTATCACCTCTCGTAATCACCATAATAACAGTAGCCGAACCCAGGCCCGCGGGTTAAGTCCAGCCTGACGGACCCAGGCTGTGCCGACGCCCCGTTCTGACCACCATCTTTCTTGATTCTTTCCTTCCCTATTTGCTTTACTTTTTCTGTCGTTTGCCTTGGGCATTTAATTCTCTCTTTTAACGTTTATCCCGCCTTTCTTACCCCCTCGCTGACTAACCACTTTCATGCCCCGAATGAAATAATATATCCTCTGTAGATTATAGGCCACGGACGCAGCGACAGAACAAGTTTCAAAAAATAAAATAAATAATAAAGATCTCTCAGGCGGCATAGAACATAGAACCTCTGCCAATTAACCTCTCTGCCTCCCACAGCCACCACACACTTCGGCACAGCAGAGTTTGAATGAGCGCCAGGCTGAAAGCCAAGTGTACCCGGGTTCCTCGTGCGCCGCCATCAGCCACATTCCTCATCGATTTGCTCCCAAAAAACTCTCCTGGGCCAGTAACTATACGGAGTTCTGAAACCAGCACGGAGGCGCTCTGAGTCACGATCACTTTACCTGATCTCATAGCTAGGTAACTAGTAGTATATCTGTCTTTCTTCTGTTCGTCCATAGCATACTGCCCGATGACGCGTCGATGGCACGTTCGTTAGTTACTCGTTTGCCGCTCGCGACTTAGTTACCTACCTACGAAGACGAGCCTCCGGGGTTTTCCCTGGGTATCTACTATGTATCTACTTGACTTTCTACTAAATGCACAAATGCAGAAAATGGCTCATGTTAATGGCATGGGTTCAAACGGCGTTGGTGCGTCTGGTTGGTGCATTCTGCCGATGGAGTGTGCTCAGACCCTGACCTCGGGGTGAGATATATTTCGGGAGGGTTTACATCGGGTCCGGAGACTTGGCGGGATCTAAAATCCGGACGACTGGGTATTGTCGGGCGTTCTGTGTTGCAGGGTTGCTACATACATAGCCATAGCAAACGTTTTGGCTGATTGTATGCTGTTTGTATCATGGATGTAGTGTCTGGTGATGTGTCTTCTAGTTTGGGAACGGGTGCCTCAGGCAGGGCGATGTGTTTGGAGGTAAAGTATGTAGGTAGTGGACCTGGGCGGGACGCAAAGGCCACCAGTAGCGTCGCTGCGAGAGAAGGAGTAGAGACTCCCTGTCTATAATAATTGTTAGTATGTGAATGTGTTTGCCCGGAGACTGGAATATAGGGTAGTCTAATAATGTAATGTTCAAGGTGTCGAGACCCCGTTGCATGATAGGAAAGAGACCCCCCTCTCACCCATCAGATATCTCACGAGCTTTCTTCAGACCGTTAGTTTGGAATATGGTACAGTACATGTAGAACTGCAATATGCTCGGTCATCATACGCAACTATGTTCGAAATTATAGCCTGGTACAAGTACAGTGGCTGTGAGGGTGACAAACATCAGCATATCTTTTCTGTGGCCCATAACTACCAGATAGGAGCTCTGCTAATATGCCTATTCTCTATCTCATGCAGATGCCATCCAAGTCCACGATGTCTTGCTTTCTTTAATGCACAGATCACATGGAGGGAAAAGGAACATACTAGATCCAAGTGACAACCCCCCGAGACTACAACATGCGTTTGTATGTATAGAATTTTCACCACGATCATATTGATGCACAGATCTACACCTACAAGCCCAGAAGAGACGATAGAAGTTGTTCTTTCCGGCCATACTCAACATGTGTCTACGTGCATGCTCGCCGCCAGGAGATCACCCCGCTCGATATAGACCGACAGATCCACCACCGCCAGGGCCATTGATACCACAATGGCGACTATCATCCCCATGCTCGGAACGGCGACCTAGAACACGCGACCGGATGAATGACCACATCAATCGGCTCATGAACATCGGGTGCATTGCGGGTAAAGATGTTTCTCACAGATGGGGATCGCCAATTTCAGACCCGGAGCATATACTCCAAACAACGCATGTGCTGGAGCGTGTTCTGGGGCATGCTCTGATGTGGTGACATCCGATAAGTCGAGCGATGCATGTATGTTTGATCCGTGTCTCAGGTCCGGACGATGGCCGAACTTCTAGGAGACATAAGTGCAAGTGATAGATAGAGGTAGCCTACTTTGCCAGCTCAGTTGCGGTTTCAGATACAATATGCTGTGGACACCGAGCAAGAACGTTTCGACGAATGAAGGGCAAGATCCAACTTGCTTCTTTTTTGTCGAAATTAGCAGACTGCATACCGGCCTACTGCAGAATCCGAAGGAGGATCCGGTCTAGGCAGTCCTAGTAGAAATCACTTCCTTGTGCCAAGAGGAAGGTTGTCGTCTAATCACTTGCCCCGGATTGCGTACTCCGTCCTGTAAGGAGGATCAGTATTATTGTCCAATTAAGTAAAGCCCACAAAGACCTTCAACTGGAGACAAATATGTAGTTGGTACTCCATCTGACGAGGAATGTGGCTTCTGAGAGATAACAGAAGAGAACCCGAAACATATCTGATCGGCACTAACGTTGCTCTCAGTGTCGTGATAGCGGGCCATATATTTGACAGGTTCGAATGTTTGACTGCTGACCGTCTTTTGGAATCCATTGCCCTTGACAGTTCCTGAATTAAGGAGATGGCTGGTATATCATCATCGGTGTAACAATGCAGATGTGAGATGACTGATCATGAATGTGAGCTATTTCGGGATGTACCAAGTAAAGGATAAGGGAATACATTCAGACATTAAGTTGAGGTTAAGGAAGACTCTCAATTGAAATCTGTACCTACTGGACAAAGGGGGATTGTAGTTTTACGATTGGATATGCCCGATGAACGGAGAGATCCTGGGATAAAGGGAGTCCGAACCGGGAGAAAGATGAGCCTGCAGAGCCGATAGACAAAAAGCAATGACATCAACCATTCCCATTGGTACAACTCAAATGATATATATCCGGTAGTTAGGTAATTCTGCCCAGTCAAGGTGCTTGAACTTGGGTCAGTGACAGGAGGTTGAACGCTGGGAGCACTCTGAGTGGGCGATATAACCCACTTGACGTCAGATTACCACGCATGGTTTGGGCCCAAAAGATACAAGAACCGCAGAGCGAGAGGCATCAAAAACCAGGATAATGACATAAGGAGTTCCCGGAGTATATAATAATCTTTGCAACAGGGCATCACCCCCTCGCTCCTAGACCTGGTGCAGAGCGATTCATAGTTCACCGTCACCGTCACCGCCCATCGACTCCCTGTGCGAGCAACACGTGACTCCGCGTGGGCCCCCCCTTTGAAGCCGCCACGTCATACCTGCGAATGATTTCCCCGTTCCAGAAAGCTGCAGGGATCAAAAAAAAGAAAGGAGGGAAATTGGAGCACATCCGAAACCACGCAGGCACATTTCATCTCCATCCAACTCATCTGGATGATCGTCTCTTCACCGCATCTGCTCTGTGATCGGTCTTCACTCGAAACGAGTTCATTCTAGATTTTCTTGTTTCATTTCCATCTCTCGTCATGTCCGACTCGACCCTTTATCTCTACACCTCCCTTACTGCGGGGTCATCCCACATCGTCACCGCCACTGCTCGATTGGAGACCATCCTGAAGGCCAACAAGCTCCCGTTTCGCGCAATTGACGTCGCCACCGACGATGCCGCTCGTAAACTCTGGGGTCGTCGCTCCAAGGGCAAGAAATTGCCCGGTCTGGTGAAATTCGGCACAGTGGTCGGCGTATGTCACCTCTCCTTTCCCCCTCCTCCCCCCCCCCCCCCCCTTTGCCTCCGTGACGGGGAATGGTTACCGGCGCAGGGGATATATCAACCACGCGCTGTTTTCTGTTCCCCCCTCTCCCTTGTTTCCCACTCCACGTAGCTTGGTGGGGTGCTCGCTAATCGCGCATGATGCTGTAGGACCTAGAGGAAATCGAAGAATGGAACGAGTACGGTGAGCTGCGGATGCAGGTGAACAGCGTCGAAGACTTCGACAGCATGCCCGCCACCAGCTACCCAGCTCCCGCCACTCAGACCGACACCGGCGCATTCACCCCCACCCCCGAGTCGGCCGCTCCGAAGCAGAGCACGATCAAGATCCAGAATCCCCCTGCCAAGGAAGCGCAGAAGGATGACTCCATTACTGTTGCATTACGCCAGGCCAGCGAGGAGGCGGCTACCAAGGCTAAGGAGAACAGCGCGAAGCCTGAGAAGGCGCCCGCAGCTACGGAAGAGCCCAGCCCGCAGCCGCCTGCCCCTGCCGATGCCGCCGCCAGCACAGACAAGAAAAAAGATGGCGCAGACTCAGTACGTCGGAAATCATTGGTTCCTGAAGATGCGGAGAGTCTGAAGCGTCCGCCTCTCATCATACCAGAGGTTGCTGCGGTCTCCTCTGCCAACATTCATGCTGATAACGCCCAAGCTCTAGGGTTGGTGGAACACCACCGTGGCTCCATAATTTCGGCCACATCTCCGGAAGAGCAGGAAAAGGTCAAGCAGGACTTGCGCAAATCCATCTCTGGCGGTCGTCAAGAGATTCTTGATGCCCTGAAGAAGGAGAAGGCGGAGCAGGGTGCTCAGGACGAACCTATCGAGGAGGAGCCCGCAATCGAAGATGAACCCGACGTCAAGGATACGGAAGCCAAGAAACAAGAATAAATTTAATCAGAATGATTTTGACAATCATTACCACCAACTCCAGGCAGCCGCTAGCGGTGGGAATTAACTCGGGTTGTCTGTGTTGCATAACCCTGGTCAGCTGTGCTGTCGGGATGACGAACACGACATGACATCACACTTGTTTCATTTGGTTTTCTTTTTCCTTTGTTTGTAAAAATACCAGTTGAGTGTTCTTTAGTACCTAATTCGAGGAACTTTGCGGGTTCGGATGTATCTATCTTAGGTCTTTCTATCAATTTATTTTGTAGTTCTTGCTGGGGATACATGAGTAGTAACTCGTCAACCGTAACCGCATTAAATTACTAAGGTAGTCTTCCCGTCTCTTTTTCTTTTGGTCATCACATGCTCGAAGGAACCTGGTAAAAAAAATATAAAGGAAATGAGGCATTAGCAAAATATAAACCGCAAAAGAACCGAATCACATGAAGGTATATATCCCCTTTTGCTTAGACTTTTGAGTCCTTCCGGCGCGAGTCGACGGATTCGCGGAGTTTTGCGATAACGTCGGCAGGATCCTGGGCACCAAAAACAGCCGAACCAGCGACGATAACGTTGGCACCGGCATCCGCAGCCTGGTCCACGGTGCCGATTCCCAGTCCGCCATCAACCTCGATGTTCAGGTTGGGGTATCGCTCGCGCAAGGTCTGGACCTTGGGCAGCTCGGAGGCCATGAACTTCTGACCACCAAAGCCAGGGTATACCGTCATGACGAGGACCATCTATTGAACGGAGGAGTTAGTCAGATCAGGTCACACAGACTTGAGGGAAATCCCGGACGGTGACGGCACTTACATCCGGACGCTCCTTCTCATCCTTGGCTTCGAGGATATCCCACAGCACATCCACCGGCGTGTCGGGCTTGATGGCAATACCAGCTTGCATACCCTCGTCGTGAATGTAGCGGATCAGTTCCTTGGGGCTCGTTTGGCGGGTTGTGGTAGAATCAGCGGGGGAGGTGGCGGCCACGGACGAGACGGCCGCTTCGTAGTGAAAGCAGTAGAGATCGCAGCCGGCGTCCTTAAAGTCCTTGACCCATTTATGTGGCTAGATATCAAGATGAAATGGTTAGCTGGGAAGTTCTCTTATTGATCCGAACGGAATGCGCGGGTACTCATGTCGCGAGGAAGCGCGCGGCGACTCGCGGATCGCATGGAACGGGGCGTCTCACCTCCATGATCATCATGTGGCAGTCGAAGGTACCCTTTCCACTCGGCTCCGTAGGGCGAGCGACGTGAGAGCGAATCTTGGTGACGACGGGAGCTCCGAAGGTGATGTTAGGGACGAAGTGACCGTCCATGATGTCAACATGGAGCCAATCGGACCCTTGCTCGATTTTCGTCGAGCATTCGTGGCCCAGAGTCGCGAAGTCCGCGCTGAGGATAGAAGGAGCTATGATGGCAGGGGGAGACATGGCGAAGGGTCAAGTCGGACGATTGTATAGAACAAAGTGAGGTTCTGTACACTGGACGGATGTGCAACGGCCGGAAGTGGATGAAGTGGGGGGAGGGGTGCGGACGAGAAGACAGGAGCGCGATGACGACTTATGTACCAATGAGTCAGAAAAGGGAAATGTGTGAACAACAAAGAAGGATGGAGACCCGAGTGGAACGGCATACAGCGTACTCCATCCAAGGGCAAATTTAAGCGGCCATTGATATCATCATATCACCGCCAGTTGCCGGTCGACGTCAGTCCGGATCGCCCGATTAGGAAAGCTTGCATAGACGATAAGGGCTAGGGCCAAGACCTTCACGTGGGTCGCGCCCGTGGGTGCCTGAACTTAGAGTCGGTCGCGTCGAGGCCTCGAGCTATTCCATTGTCGGCCGGGTCACGGGAATCGGATTCCTCCCGGCTCTTTGGTGTTTGCCCTCGCGGCGCTCTCAGCACCTCTGAACAGTGCCAATTCATCCGCTCAATTTCCGATGTGCTGGTCGGCTGACCATCTTGCCCGTTGGTTGGGCGGCATAACATTCGGAATGCCCGTTTTCGTCTTTCCTGTCGCCGCTGACAGGTCAACTAAGTCAATCCATGAGATAAGGTGGCAAGAGTTGGGGGAAGTAGTTTCTCCCTCTTAGCTTTGAGCTTGCTCATTGCCCTCACCGACGGGATGCGACAACGGCATTCACGTCCGGTATTTTTCTAGGCGCAGAGGGTGGTTGAGGGGAACTCAGGGTGTGCTTGACCATCGCACCGATCGTCGACACCCCGGAACTTCCTTTCTAAAGATAGCCCCCGGCGCTTCCAGTCTACCAATCACGGATCGCCTGTCATCCCTCGACACCACTCCCATTCGTGGCCGGCGGTTCTTTGCAGGTGCAAAGGCCCTCCTCCACGCTGATTGGTATCGTCGCCATGCAACCTGTGCCTGTTGTCACTTCGGATGAACCTGTTAGAGTGGTTGGGGCCTCGCCGGCGACGCGCCGACAAGATCACACCCAATGACATTGTGTGCACTGGCTCCATTTCCAAGGTTCCTACCTCATGTTGCAGTAGTTTCTGCACGGATCATGGCTGGTGTGGTGGGCGCTTCCTCCGGATCAACCCCTCCCCTCTTTTTGCTCTTGGGGATATATACCAGAGCCGGGCGCTACCCAGAGATCTTGTTCCTCACCTACTCCATTTGTGTGCGCAATCTTCGTGTCGTTCTCGTTTTTGTTCTCGTGTTTGTTTGTGCTTAAAGCTCTGGTAGCTTAGCCATCTTCTGTCGTTTTAGTTATACATACTCTAGACCCCGTTGACCGGCGTCTAATGCGATCGAGATACCCTTAGAAGCTCTGTTCGGTTCCACGAGCTTCGGTGATTGTTCGTCTTGCAGTTGCAGCCAAGGAAGTACATCCTTCAATTAGCAATTACCAAGTCAAAATGGCATCCGAGTCAGTTCGTTTGGCTAGATGTCCGCCTCCTCGGCAGGGCCGAGGGACGAGGCTGAATACCATCATTGAAGACTCGCGCGAGGCTCAATTCTCAGAAAAGGCCGAGCCCAGTCCTCCGCCCTCTGGGATGGTCAGTCGAGCACCGCCCTTGAAATTGAGAACCACGGGTCTTCAACCGCCTTCGAGGCTGAATCGTGTTTGGTCGCCCTTGTCCACAGGTTCTTTATCGTCCTGCTCGGATACGGAATGGCAGCATCAGATGCGGAATTTCGATGATCTATACGATGCCACTGATGACGATTCAGACATGAGTGACGATTGTACATCATTTGCAAGTTCCAGACCGACAAGTCTCACGACCCCTACGACCAGAAATTCAATAATATCCCCAGTTAGTCGCAAGCGGTATCCGAGTCTCACCATTCCGTCGCCAACCTTCTCGTCACTGAACGGTGCCCCTAAAAGCTCGCCGGTTCCGCCCACTCCGCCACCGAAGATACCGGTCTCCCCAGCGGCCTTGTCAATGCTAGGTCATTCGGTACCCGCCGTGCATGCTCCGCCCTCCCTGGATGGCAGTGTCTCATCGGATCAGATCTCGAACATCAGCGCTCCAGCGACTCCAGACCTGCAGTCTCTTCCCGACAGTGAATGGAACGCTCGGGAGATCCATGTCCAACCGGACATCGAGGAGACAGACAATGTGGACATGCAGCATCCCGAGTCCGACTCTGAGATCCAGAACATCGAAATTGCAATTGAAAATGTCGAAGAAGATTGGCAGCAAGTTTTGGGGAGGTTTCCTCAAATTCCCGGCCAAGCAACGCCAACCTCTCGCCATTTCCCGCCCGAACCTACACGGGAAGACACGCCGTCAGATGGAGGACTGTTCCTCCCTGAAGATGCTCTGGCAACGTTGAGACATATTACGCTTGATGGGACGCCAGATCCTTGGTCAGAGACCTCCGAGGGCAATGAAGAGATGTGGCAGATCGAGACCCCCGAACGACCTCGCAGCGCTGATGACGCAACTCCGGCTTCAGATATATCTGGGTACAGCTTTAGTAGGCTCAGTATACCCTCGCCCGGTGGTTTCTTCTCATCCCTCGGAGCTCGAGCTCGCCACACCTGGTCGATTCCAAAGGGGTATAGGCCTCCCACGTCGGCCACTGCCGAAAGCTTTTACAACATACCTTTCGGCCGGACCGAAGGGGAAGTTGTTGAGCAGGTAGTCGAGTGCAATCGACGTTTGACCGAAGAGCAACTGACGGCTGTATACGACCCGCCGACTGCCATCCGGATCCCTTCTGAGAACGCCGATGAGCCGCTGGAACATCCGGAGAGTCCAGCCAGCGATGTCGTGGATGGAGTGCATGAGATTGTCAGACCTGAGACCTTATGCGAGGACGATGAACAAGATGAGAACTACGAAAGCGAACTGAAGAAGAAGTCAATGGCAAGCCTAGACAGAACTAGTGTCTGGCTAGCCGCGCAGGCTTCCTACCTTGCTGCTCTTCGCGAAACCAATCCCGTCAACGCCCTAGATATCGAAACCAATGCTCAGCTTGATGACCATGGAATTGACAAGGATACTGCTGCTGCCGCCGAAGAAACTCAACAGATCAGCCGAAAAAGATCTGTTAGGTTCGCCGAGGATACTCCCGAGGCACCCAGCTCTGGACCATCTGCCACGGCAAGCAGGGACTCGATTTATTGGCGAGGTTTCCAGTTCATTCGCCAACAGTCAAACAATCGGGATACTTTTGTCCATCGCAACACACGTTTTGACGCTGTCCAGTCTATTCGACTTGGTTTGACAAATGTCCACACCAGATCTTTGTTGGGTAATTACGAGCTCGTCCGCCCCGAACGTCCAGCTTACAAGGGGCCATTTTCACAAGCTCCCCGCAACTCGGTCATTGCCTCGGTCTTGTCGGAAAAGGCGCAATTTTCTATGCTGGAGAAAGAGCAAATGGTCCTTTCCCAAATTAGTCAATCTATGTGGGCCATGGATGCTCTGAGATATCTCAATGGCGGTAGCTTGATTGCTAGTCCTGCCGCAAAGCGCCTTTCGCGACCCTCCACTTCCACAAAGACTCCGCAAGGTTCTGGTACCCGCCGCCTTAGAGTCTTAGACCTAGGAGGACATGCTTCTTGCGAGTGGGCATGGCAGTGCGCTCATGACTATCCCAATGTCAAGGTCTACACTGCGTTCACCGAACACCAGGCGGTCAATCAAGGCATCAAAGGCCCCTCAAATCACCAACCGGTGTCTGTCTCATGCCTTTGGAAACTACCTTTCCCTGACAATAAGTTTGATGTGATTTCCGCTCGCTCCCTTCCTGCCCTACTGAAAACAGAGCATCCGTCAGGTGAAAATCTGGACGAGTATGACCTTTGTCTCAAGGAATGTTACCGTTGCCTCAAGCCTGGCGGTGTATTGGAATTCTTTGTTATGGATGCAGAAATCTCACGAGCCGGTCCATCCGCTTCCGCTACGTCGGTCGAATTCGCTTTCAATCTAAAGACTAGAGGCTACGACCCAACGCCTACGAAGAAGTTCCTCAACCGTCTGCGAATGGGGAAGTTTGTCGGCACCAAGCGTGCCTGGATGTTCCTGCCAATGGGTACTGAGCCGACCAAGCCCCAAGTGCCCAGAGAGACTCCTGAACCTCGCGTGAAGAGTCAAATCGATGAGTACGAGGCGGTCCACGGTCCAATCGGCAGTACAACCGATGTCGCCAGTGTCACTGGGTTATTTGGTGGCTGGATATGGGAACAGTGGCTTCTGAAACTTCAGGTCGAGATGGGCCGCGAACAGCACAAGCTGCTTGAAGGCATTGGAAGTGTATTTGATGAAGGCCGCAAGAATGGTGCCGGCTGGTCTTGCTTGTCGGGCTGGGCCATGAAGCCAAAACCGAAGCGGAGGACGCAACAGCACTGTTAGGGAAAACAACGATGTCCGAGGGTCCAGGTTCCTTGGTCTGGTTTGCGACCTGATTTTCATTCTCCCATTCTATCTCTGTCTCTCACTTTCCCTTTTTGTCTTTTTGCATTGCATTTCCAAATACTTGGAGTATTTGGAACCACATACTCATTTGATACCCCCATCTACCGCCCTGGTGGCGCGATATAATGTAATAATTGGACAATCGCTGAGATACCTTGTTTATTTGTTATGGATGTGTGATGAGCATATGAATAGCAAGTGAAATGGATGGAGTGAGGTCAATATTTCTTCATACGTAAAAGGTGTATATCAAGAATTTATAAACCATCAATGAAGGTAGTTATAGTTCTCATGAATTTCAGCACCTGGTGTATGTTTATAAAGAGAAGACATACACTCAGCAGACATTTTCCATTTTATTTCAGAAAAACCAGCAGAGAGGTAGAGTTCCGTTGGATCTGGAACGGGATGAAAAATTAAAAGATCACGGAATAAAGACGTCAGAGGACGGTAATAATATTATAAATGTCAATGTTTTCTGAGCCATTTTTTTATCTTTTCTTTTCTTTTATCCACGTATCCCTTTCTATATCTTCATCACTCTCATAATACTAGCCCCCCTTGATTATCTCGTCTCATCTGGTTGATTTATCACTCGAAAACACTATTTCTCTATGACCGCCTTCCCCAGCTCGACTACCAGCTCGATGGATTCTTATGATCAATGTGCGACGGCCTCTAAGGCGATAGTGGACCATAGAGTGATGTAGCTGCAGCAGTCGGCCTTTTGGGGCTTATAGCTTTCTTAATAAAGGACTTCCGTGTATGTCCTTCTTTAACCTTTTTCTTTTCTGTTTCTCTTAGCCGAGACGCTGCATGATCTATACTTATATATAACTAATATTGACTTTTACATTAATAGGATTCCCGTTCGAAATCCTCGCCAAAGAAAGAACATTTCGTCTCGGAGGCGCGCAAATCAGAAGGAATAGTCTAGTTTTTATCCTCTGCTTTGAAGTTTTTTATCTGTTTGTTCTTAACGGGGTAGGGTAAAGGCTAATCTTCTAAATTGCGTTATAGTGAAACTTGAAGTTGTGGATGGAATTAATGCTGATAATTATGTTGATGTTGATGAGAAGAAACCTGAAGAAATGGTTTAATAGGCTGGTTTGTGTTGAGTGAGAAAAGTTTGGATAGAACCACTGCTTGCGTTACGTTGTTTTGCGTGGTTTTATGTTGCTTTGCGTTGTTTTGGAGATTAGTTGGAGGGCTCAAATCAAGCAATTTTCAATCTAGAAGAAAGAAAAGAACGTCTTCTTTTCTTGATTTGTTTTTAATTAAGAATGACTGATATAAGATATATCTAACAGTCAGATGGATTTGTTAATTAAAGAGTCCTGCAGTCTCCGTACTCCGCAGAGAAATGAGCGGTGCCCTCACGTGACAAGGAAGCTGCCCGCCTTGAATGCCGCTGAATGGGATGGAGTTACAACATCACAGTTCTTGGTCTCTCAACTTTGACGTATTTTACCTTCTGTGAGTGCTCACTGCAGCTCTGGACGACTACTATCTTTTATCCTGACATCTTGGAACCCAGAATCTCTCAGCGCATGTGATAGAATTTACACAGAGACCTACAACCCCTCTACCGCGCGACCACCGCAACCATGCTCTTCTTCAGGTAAATCCGACCAATGCCTCCCAACTTGCATCGAACGCAGCTTACCCATACCACTAAAGCTTCTTCAAGACCCTTACGAACCAGACCGTCATTATCGAACTCAAAAACGATATCCGCATTCGGGGAACTCTGAAATCGGTCGATCAGTACCTCAACATCAAGCTGGACGATGTCGACGTCCTAGACCTGGACAAATATCCCCACCTTTCGTCGGTCAAGAACATGTTCATTCGAGGCAGTGTTGTGCGCTACGTGGTGCTTCCCCGGTCGGAGGTTGACGTTGGTCTTTTGGAGGATGCTACGAGGAGAGGTGAGTCTCGCTATGCTTGAGATACCGAGAGTCATCCGGTGTTCTCTTTTTCCCTCTAAGATGAGTCGCGAGAATCTTGCTAACATGCGCCTCGCTCTACAGAAGCTGCAAACCAGGCCGGAAAGGCTCGATGATTTTTCCCACCCGACTAAAACTACCTAACCTTTTTCTTTGTTCAATAACGATGCGATGTTGCGACTGCGTATGCGGAACGAACTGTATTTCTTGTCTTCTACTGATGATCGACCCGGACCCTAGCTTAGAGGAAGATCCAGGTCGTGGAGGAGAGAAATGGGCTGTTACAATTTGGGGTCAGATGTCAGGAATCGGACGCTGCGACCGGGAGGGTTTTCTCTGCCCCGGATTCACAAATAATAAATGGGATTCATTCCCTCCGAACTTGGCCACTCGATTGAAGATGCGATTGTAAGCAGTACCCTTTATCTGGAAGTGTTTTAATCCTGCATAGCAAAGACGAACGAATTGAATTGATCGTATTCATTAATTGCCTGTAGTAAAGCTGCCGTAATTCCGTCAAGGGGCACGTGATCTCGCGTTATGAAAATGGCGACTCGCCGCGCCGCGCTTTTAGTCTTCTTTACCCTCCTTCGCCTTCTTCAGTCATGTCTATCCGACATAATTATATGACGAGAATATATTGAGCCTGTACACGATGAATGCTCCGGTATTATAGCTCCTTATATTTGATTATTCGCTCCGACCGACCATCTTCGCCACTCCGACAACCAACGACCTCTCCGGACTTCTCAATTCAGTTACAACATGCCAGTCTCCAATTCCAGAAAGGGCTCCACCCCAGCAAAGGTCCCTTTCAGCTCCAAACCCAAGGGGTCGGTCAAGCGAAACAGCAGCCTGCTCAACTTCTTCCAGAAGACGGACGGTCCCCCGCAAGCTACATCGCGACAGCCTCGAATTACGCAATTTGCCACGAAATCGGAACGCTCGCCGAGTAGTGGGAACAGTACGCCTGGCTTTCGAAGACAGAGTAGCTCCAAGTCCGTCGACACTGCCGGGGGGTTATTCTTGGAAGACAAAAATGGCGCAGGGTCTCTTTTCGGAGGAACCGGGGCGAGCACAAGATCTCAACGACCGAGGTCTCGAACGCCGGACGATATCTGGGGTGAAGACGCCGACGAGGAAGACGGGCTCGGTGATGCGAGATACAATGAGAATGGGTCTGCTGTGAAGAAGCGGAAAGTGGATTCCCCTCTGGATGATGGGCAAAAGAAGGCTTCGAAAGAGGTTGAACCAAGTCCTGCACAGATACCCCCTAAGGCTTGCCAAATTAGCGGTCCGTTTATCGATGAATCCGATAGTGAGGATGATATTGGTGGATTCGGGGATCTCAATGAAGAACTGCCGGAATCGAAAACAGACACAAAGACCAAGGAAGAACAACCACGTCTCGATGATAACGATCGCAATTCGATAGACAGTACACGACCCGCCTCCGTCGTCCCACCATTGGTAAGAGAAGCCACGAGCCACGTCGCAGATGATGAATATACGAATTTTGACGATATAGAAGAAGACGAATTCAACGAAGACGAACCCCTAGACCAGGAGAACGACTACGGAGATAGGGATGATGATGGAGCAATCGATTTCGATGATTTGAACGATCCTACCGGCTTAGAAGAAAGCGACCTGAATTCCTGCCGTGTAGTTCCCACATGTCCAATATGCCAGGCTCAGCTGCCAGGTTCAAACGAAGCTGTACGTTGTGGTTTTCGATATTCTCATCAACATCTTATACTAATGGGCTTGCAGGACGTGTCGGTACACGTGAACGACTGTCTTGATGGGAAGCCGAGCACCGTTCCGACAATCTTGAAGCCAGTCAGTTCGCCGAACGGCTCAAAGCCCGCCGACCGGGCATCAATAGCCAGGCCCGCACAAAGAGACCCTCACCTAAAAAATAGTTCATCGAAAACGGGATCTGCTTTTTCAAAACTCATGGCAGGCAACGCCGAAGACACGGCGTGGACAACTGCCGCAGCACGAGAGGTGGCTTCTCGGGGGAAACAAGCTTATCAACGCACCTGTCCGTTCTACAAGATTATTCCGGGATTTTCTATCTGCGTGGACGCCTTTCGTTACGGAGCGGTTGAAGGCTGTAGTGCCTACTTCCTCACTCATTTCCACAGTGATCATTACATTGGTCTCACGGCGTCATGGCGCCACGGTCCCATATATTGCAGCAAACCCACAGCCAACTTGGTTCGCCAACAACTTAAAGTCGATCCTAAATGGCTTGTAAGCCTAGAATTTGAGAAGAAATACGACGTTCCGGGGACCAATGGGGTGCAGGTGACCTTGATCGAAGCAAATCACTGCCCCGGGAGTGCACTATTTCTGTTCGAGAAAACAACGGAATCCGGGTCATCGATCAAAATTCAACGTGTCCTGCATTGTGGTGATTTTAGAGCATCTCCGACCCATGTGCAGCATCCACTCCTCCGTCCGGAGGTTATAGATTCTGCGACAGGCCGGAGTCGCCAGCAGCGGATTGACGCGTGCTATCTCGACACTACCTACCTCAGTCCTAAATATGCGTTCCCAAGCCAAGGGGATGTCATCAAAGCATGTGCTGATCTCTGCGCTGGCCTCGATCAAGGCTCGGACGAGGAGTTTGGTCAGATGGTTCGACAATCCAGGTCGACGAATTCGGGACAAGAGGGCATGATGAGCCGCTTTTTCTCCTCCGTTACAGGCTCTGGAAAGTCGCAGAAGCAGTCTTCCGGGCCAAGTGGTCGACTGTTGGTGGTGATCGGGACGTATAGTATTGGCAAGGAACGCATCTGTCTGGGAATAGCACGGGCCTTGAAAAGCAAAATCTACGCCACGGCGGCCAAACAGCGCGTGTGCAATTGTCTAGAGGATGCCGAGCTGTCATCTCTCCTGACGGATGACCCTCATGAAGCTCAAGTGCACATGCAGACGCTGTTCGAGATCCGGGCCGAGACCCTAGCGGACTACCTGGATTCGATGAAACCGCATTTTACGCGCGTGGTGGGGTTCCGGCCCACCGGATGGTCGTATCGGCCTCCAGCCGGACGGATGCTGGACAATCCGCCGGTGTCGACCGTGCTTCATTCGGCTCGCTGGCAGACGCCGTTTACGGCCAGGGACTTGGTCCCCCAGCGCGGCAGTACGCGAGAGAGTGCCTGCTTTGGGGTGCCCTACAGCGAGCACAGCTCCTTCCGGGAGCTTACCATGTTCTGCTGCGCACTCCGGATCGGTCGGGTGATTCCCACGGTGAACGTGGGTAGTCGGAAGAGTCGGGATAACATGAAGGGGTGGATTGAGCGGTGGGATGCGGAGAAGAGGAAGAGTGGACTGTATGAGTGGCGATGCACATAACAAGGGGAGTTTGTTCGCATTTGTAAATATAGTGAGGCCCTACAAATTTCTCCTTCAGGCTAGTTTTGCCGTCCCGGCATGGTCACCTAAGTTTGTACATACATAAATAACACTCGTATAAAGCACACTCTGCTCTTTCCCTTTTCCTTGTCTCCTTGTGATATTTGCCCCTTTGCCTCTGTATTGCACCCTTTCTTCCCAATCTATGGAAGTTCTCCCTGGGTATTTCCGTGGCACACCGTTTGAGATTCTTACATTCTCTGATCCTTCCTTACCTTACCCCTTTTTCTTGGCGACCCTATCAAGCTGAGCTGTGATTAACCAAGTGTCCGCTTTTTGGGCGCCGGCGCCGTTCGCTACTTCCCAGCTCAAACCGAAAGTCCTCAATTAGCAGCGGTAGAGCAGACAGAATAGTATATAGGAGACTCAACTATTTTAGCAGATGATGGGAAACCATCCTTCTTTCGTTTATTGAATCGCCATGTCCGCACACGGCAAACTGGCCCTGTTCGATATCTCTCTATGGGCTCGAAACACACCGTTCGTGAGACAGTACATAGAAACAAGTCAATAATGAAGGACACTAGTTTGTCTACCTATACCTATTATCCCGTAATTACCCGTCCTATCTCCTCAGTAACTGATAATTTTCAAAGTCTGGCACGCATGGCCTGGACGACTTGTTTAGATATACCTCTGGCCGATGGTTGATAAACGAGACACATCAACTAGAGCAGCGTTATGTGAAGTTCAATATCGAAAATCTTTGTGCACGAGCTGCCTCTCTCTTTGGCCCTGACACAAAATGCTTGCGCATTGCCAAGCTAGAGGGGAACTTCAACAAAGGTTTTCTCATTGCGATGGACAATGGCAATGAAGTTATAGCAAAAATCCCTTTTCAAAATGCTGGGATGCCGGTCCTGACAACGGCATCCGAAGTAGCAACTTTAAAATTCTGTGCGTTCCCTACGAGCTTAACATGTCCCGATATATGCTTATGTGATTGTCTCCAGTGCGATCTCGCATATCGATTCGAGTCCCAGAAGTATATGCGTGGAGCTTAGACCCGGCAAACCCAGTGGGCGCCGAATATATCATCATGGAAAAGATCGATAGAGTTGCGCTGGCAGAACGATGGGAAACAATGAACACCTTGTCAACGCTATAAAGTAATTGACAAAATTGTGGAGATGGAGAAAGAGCTTATGGCTTTAAAGTTACCAGCATATGGAAGTCTCATTGTGCGGGATTCTCCGCCACCGGGATATCACCATTACCCCCCCTATCCCTTCTGGACCCCAACGGCACATTTTGCATCGGTCCTTCGTGTAGTCGAGCTGTGCATCATACGATCTTGTCTAATGATAATTCCAAATCAAATTCTGGGCCGTGTGAGTCTGGGATTGCCTTACTCCATGTTTTGAATGCTAATATTTTTCAGGGACCTCGGTATTGAACTTTGCACTTTCTAAACCACACCAAGAACTAGCCTTTATTGCAGGCGATAGGGAGTAAGTACAGCGCCATCTCAGTCGTTTTCATGATAGCCAATCTGTCGACGAGTACAGTGATCTACTACAGAAAGTGTTACTGATTCTGCCCGTTCTTTCGCGCGATCCCCGCGTGCTAGAAGGGGCAAGCTCAACCATTTGGCACACCGACTTGCACCGGATATTTATGTCTCCTCGGATGGTCCAACCATAGTTGAGGGTGTGATTGATTGGCAGTCAACCCAGGCCGCTCCTCTATTCATACAAGCACAATTCCCCGAATCCTTCGGCCGCCAAAAAGGTACAACCTGGGAATTGAATTTCCCGCGCTACCTGAAAACTTTGACGAGCTAGATTCTGATGAAAAGAAATTGGCTGCTAAGGAACAGGCATCAGCAGCCCAATCTAAATATTATGAGATGTCCTGCCTTGCATATGATAAGTCCGTCTACGACGCAATGAAGCTGGATCGACGACTGTGGGAGCCTTTTACTTGTTGTCAACTCTTTGCAAATGGCTCTCTGGTTCTACTACGGAATTCTCTGATATGGTTCTTTCATGACTGGGAACTTCTGGGGCTTCCATGCAGCTGTCCGTTTGAATTCACCGAAGAGGATCTTTCAAGGCATAATGCGCATGTCCAACTTTACCGAGACAGCGTATAGTTACGGGACATTGTCAAGGCCCAGCTTTGTACGGCTAATGACGGGTGGATTCTAATCGCGCAATGGGAATCAGCGAAGAAGATGAACGAGTATCTCTTCGACATGTATGCGGAGACTCTGAGCAAAGAGCTGTCATCAAAAGCCGCCTTAGGACGGTGGCCCTTCCCTCCAAAAGATGCGTGAGCCTCCTATAAAAGGCACTATTTCCAGACTCAGTCCCCTATCCAGCCCGGCTAGCTCAATCGGTAGAGCATACGACTTCTACTATCGGTGGATTTCCACCCAAAAAAAGAAGTGCCAGGTCTCTTGTGTCTCTCCTGTGGGAGGCCTCCACGCTGTGGATGGTGATCGTAAGGTTGCGGGTTCGACCCCCGCGTTGGGCTTGTGTCTCGGGAGAAGCTCCCTATCTTTTTTGTTGACCGAGTGTGCACGTTTGGTGAATTGAGTAACATTCGAAGGTCAAAAATGCACGATTGACTGGATTAAATAAAACAACAACGTTAATAATCAACATTCTTTCTTCCCCCCAAGGATCCGGTGGCAACCACCTGGCTCCATCCACCAGGGAACCCTCCAATGCTACGCAGTAATTGGCTTTTTTTTTTTTATCTCTGCAACCGTTTTGCTTGCTGAGTGCATGTCTTGTCACTCTACCCCGGAGTAAAAACAGTGAGACACGATCTCTTTTCCGCATTCGATGTCCGAAGTCCTGCCTGAAATTGTAGGCGGCGATGCTGCCCCAGGCATCGAGTCCTCCCCGGTACAGGATGACATCGTCTCTCGCCAATGACAACGGAGGCAAAGTCATCTTGAGCGCAAACTCCGCGCCATCCATGGAACGCGCGAGTCAATCCTCCAGAGATAACCGAGCGGTGAGGCGGGGTCGGGGGCCAGAGTCGGCTGCGACAGGTGAGCAGGGAAACCCCAGACTCCCGATTCCCACATCCGTCGCCGGTCATTGCCTCGGGGATGCTGCCCAGCCCTCGTCACCTTAAATATGGCCCTTGGACGCTCAGTCTTTCCGGGCTTTCTTTCTGGAACACATCTGATCTGCGACGAGTGATGGGATCAAACTGACTTGACGAGATTCTGTGTACTCGACTTCTCACCTCTTCTTTCTGTATCTTCTGCCTGAGTGCCTCGCTGCCTGAGTGCCTGCGGTGATCCTCGGGCCAGTCCCAATCCGGTTAGTCCAACGGCTGTCATCCCCACGCGTTGCTGCCTCAGGAATCAACGAGCATCGGTCAAAACGGTCGATTTGTTCAATTTGTTTGTCCTTCGTGTGGCTCGACTGCTCGCTAACCATGCTCTGTCTCACCTAGCCCCGTTCCTTGCGCAATATGATTTCCGATCTAGTCGCCCCCTACGGGCCTTATTTCCTGCTGGCCCTGCTAGCTGCCTACTATCTGGTCCCGTACCTACAGCTATGGCGCCTGCGTGACATCCCTGCCCCTAGCCTGGCCGGCTTCACCAACTTCTGGCTGGTCCTGCAGACCCGAAAGGGCCACCGCTTCCTCTCCGTGCATGAAGCCCACAAGCAAAATGGAAAATTGGTTCGCCTTGCTCCGAGAAACATCTCCATTGCCGACGATGCCGCCATTCCTCTCATCTACGGACACGGAAACGGTTTCCTCAAGGCGTACGTTCCCCTCTCTGGGAGTTACCCCGTCCTGACAGCTAGCTGACATTGATTAACCTCCCACAGTGACTTCTACGATGCCTTTGTCTCCATCCGTCGCGGTTTATTCAACACCCGCGACCGTGTGGAACATTCTCGCAAGCGCAAGACCGTGTCTCATACCTTCAGTATGAAGTCGATCGGCCAGTTCGAGCAATACATCCACGGCAACATCGAGCTGTTCGTGAAGAAGTGGAATCAGCTCGCCGAGCTGCAGGCCAACCCCAAGACCGGCTACGCGTCCCTTGACGCCCTCAATTGGTTCAACTACTTGGCTTTCGACATCATCGGCGACCTGGCCTTCGGAGCTCCGTTCGGCATGCTCGAGAAGGGCAAGGACATCGCCGAGATGCGCAAGACGCCCGATTCGCCCCCGTCATACGTCCAGGCCGTCGAGGTGCTGAACCGCCGTGGCGAGGTTTCCGCCACCCTGGGCTGCTTCCCGTCTCTCATCCCCTTTGCCAAGTATATTCCCGATCGCTTCTTCAAGGACGGCATGCAGGCCGTCGAGAACCTCGCCGGTATCGCCGTGGCCCGGGTTAACGAACGTCTGCGCCCCGAAGTCATGGCTAACAACACCCGTGTCGATCTCCTGGCGCGTCTCATGGAAGGCAAGGACGGCAACGGCAACAAGCTGGGCCGCGAAGAACTGACCGCCGAGGCCCTGACCCAATTGATCGCCGGCTCCGACACCACCTCCAACACCTCCTGCGCTATCCTCTACTGGTGCATGCGCACTCCCGGCGTGATCGACAAGCTCCACCGCATTCTCGACGAGGCCATTCCCCAGGATGTTGAAGTTCCCACCCACTCCATGGTGAAGGAAATCCCTTAGTAAGTTTGGCACCCCACTGACCGCCCAATCGCCTGCATGAAATGAAATATTGGCTTCGCATATCATTCTGCACCTCCAGCGAACTGGGGGGGGGGGGGGGGGGGGGGGGGGGGGGGGGGGGGGGGGGGGGGGGGGGGGGGGGGGGGGGGGGGGGGGGGG